GCTGTATCAAATCCAGCTGCCCCCAGTTCCCCAAACATGCCCAGCCCAGTTCACTGGCTGCTCAGCCTCTGCCCTCGCTGGTCAATCTCCCCTTCTTCACTGGCTGTCACTGCCCATCCTTTAAGACGACTCCATTTCTCCAACACCCCTCTTCCGATAAGCCTTCCCTGATACACACACACCCCGTTTCCCACAGGCTGGGTGGGGTGCCCTCCTCTGGGCTTCCTGCAGTCTCCCCCTTTACAGTGCATATCACATCCTATCATCCTCTGCATATGAAGCCGTTACCTCTGGGAGGGCACAGCCCATGGTTCACATGCCTCAGGGGCCCAAGGCCTGGGACAGAGCGGGACTGGGTGTGTAAAAAAAGGAGAGAGTTGGACCAGTGAGCCAGGCACATTCAGAGCTGGGAGCAGCTATGCAGACTCACTCCCCTGACACCCAGAGCACACCAGTCCTGAGCCCCACTCCTGGCTTTCAAGATGGTGCATCTACAATAAGCAGAGCCCAGGCCTGGGAGGCAGGAGGCTTGAGTTCTGGACCTGGCCCTGTACTAACTTGCTGTGTGACCCTCAGCAATCCCTGCCCCACTTTGGGACTCAGTTTCCCTGCCCAATGGCTAATCAATGTAATACCTGACTCTCTGGGGAGAAAACAAAAGCTCTGATTTTAGTTTCTGTCCATTTCCATGGTGTGAGCCCTCCATGGCCAACTTCAACTTGGCATCACTGAATGTGGAGCTGGAAAGAAATGTATGCGATTGGCTCTCCCCGGCGGGTGTGAGCCAGCTCCAGCACACCTCTGTTCCCATCCCGTCCCAACACCCCGGCCTCCCACGGACTGTAGGGACACGGACGTTCTTGATCCAAGCCTGGCCCAGGCATCCCGTACTTCCTGCTTCCACCTTAGGGTTCCTGATGCTGAGTCAGGCAGAGCATGGGTGAAACGGACCACCCACTGTTGGGGAGACGGAAGCTTCGGGGGGGGACCCTCACCACCACATCTGGGATCTGGGGAGGGCACTACCCTCTGCCCCCTCCCAGTGCCTCATCTGCACCCCATGCCTTGAGGGGTGGGCACCCTTCCCTGGGGAGGGAAGCCCAGAGCCGGACAGTCACCAGCAGGTGGATAGTGCCCTGGGAGGCCTAATGGAGGACAAGGAGCCCTAAGGCAGCCACTAAGACGGAGGGAGTGGGCCGGGCTTTTCCCCTCCTGGAAGAAATGGGCGGTCCCCGTGAAGCTCTTGACAGGAGCCCGGCCCCGCCTAAGCCCTAGCCACCAGTGGCCATCACGGTCTCTGGGATGCTGGATCCTCAGCCGCTTCCCGCGCAAGCCTGCTGTTCCCAAGCCGGCCATAAGGGGGCAGCCCCGCGCGCAGCGTCCCTGCCTGCAGCCCTGAGCCCCGGGGAAGGCGAGGCCGCTCCGGGCTGGAGCTTCCAGCGCCTGCTCACCCATTTCTGGTAGGCGGACGCTATCCCCACTTTACAGCCGAGGCTAGAGGAACCAAGGCCACACAGGCAGTGGGAGCGGATTCAAAGCCCGGCAGGTGTGGGGCTGGGTCCCCAGGGGTGGAGGACGGCGGGCGGGCGCCCTGCTCGT